CGGGGGGGGGGGGGGCAGATAAAGATCGGAACGAGTCTATGAAATACATAACCTGCTTCATGAAGCTTGCTGTCGCACTTTTGCGTCAGCTCTTATTATGCAATCTCCCGTATCAAGTCGATAAGTTATTTGGATGACAGATATTTCTGGTTACACATTAATTTCAAGTAGCCATTAGACCGTGTAAGCTGTTGCGTGAGAAAAAACCTAACTAGGATGCAGAGATTGTACGTGGCAGATTATAATTAGTCACTCATGACAAATTCCCTGCCTTTTGCAGTGTTTTATACGACCCAACTCGGGGGTCGAATTATGCACGATATACTGTCCATACGTCCTAGTTTTAACACGTTTTAAATTTGCAAATCCAAGCCAGATTGCTTCTAGTGTGCTGATGTTTTGTATTTCAATTAAATTAAGTGTAATTTAAATGTGTTTCGAAGACATTTATATTTCTATGTGTTAATAATTAAGCGGGAGTAATTTTGTTATTAAGTAGGTAAATAATAATAGGATAATATAAAAATTGGATCTATCGAGATTTATTTGTTACAAGCTCGAATTATCATCAGTTAGCTGTTCTATGCATGAATATTAATGAATAATCACGCCCCAGCCAAGTTACCCCCCTGGGAATAAGTCCGTAGGAGACTGGGTGAACCTCATTGTTAACACTTGATATTGACTGATTACACTTTGAAACAGAAGCTATGTTCACATACGCAAGAATACTCACAGATGACTAGAAGAAGTGCAGTAACCCAAAACATTGAAATGAAGAAATGTGAATTTTTAAACCTAATTATCACTGATTTCAAAATATAAACACTTATTTTATTTCTGCCATCCGTAATGTGACTTTATAGAGCCACGTTAATGTCTCTGTAATTACATAGTCAATTTATTTAAACATTACTTTTCTGGCCTCCTTATCAACTACTCACAAATCGTAAAACTAATACCGCCCGCAACGTTCTCTTAGGCCACCTATCTCACCTTCGTGTCTGAGAAGTTGCCGCGCCAGCTTGGCGCTGTGACGTACTGTAAGTCTCTGAGATCGAAACCATCCAACGCCAAAGCTCCTGTAATTGTCCTTCGATATCACTCATTATTACTGACAAGTTTCGGAGTGTGCAAGATCGGATTTTTTCTAGATTATGCAAAAACACGATTAAACTAAGTGAAGGAGTGTAAGCCTAGTGAAGTTGAATGAACGTTATTTTATGGCCCGTTTCCTCTTTCTTGTTAATCAAAGAGACGAATAACAAAAACAGTAATTTACAAATTTATACTAAGCGATTCAAATAATGCACGAAGGAATTTGTAGTGTGTAATGTCATTATGTAACTGGAGGTTGCCAGTTACTGTTTATCTGCTTTTCCTGTGCTCCGTTATTTTTTGAAATTCCATTTTATCAGCATATTTTATGTCAGGTGTAATTACATTTCCTTCTACCTCAGTTGCATATAACAATTTTGTTCGTTAGACAGGAATAACAGTTAAAAGCGGAAAGGTCTTGTATTCTAATTTAAATGCGGTCAGGAATGGAAGCAAAAGAACTTGAATTTGAAGTAGCATATTTTATAAAGTTGTAAGGGACATTTTTTAAAATGTATTTTTAATCTCAATATTGCAGGAACAGTTAGCTGTCAGTACAGATAACTGTCCTATTTAACACCGCATTCAGAGCAAAATTGTTTACATGGAAAGTTTGTGTACGACGAGGAAGACGCTTTTATTGATTCTGTTCTTGCCATCTATTCATAATAAACGCTTTTAGTGACGTCAGAGTAAGATTTAGTCAGTCCGATATCTAGACATAAATGATAGTAGGTTTTAAAATGAGGAACGAGTTTGTTCAAGTTAAAATGTTTATGAATGTCAGAAGAATCAATAAAATCTTCTCGGGCAATCAACCGCGTTAACTGGTTACCGTAGCAAACCGACGTTTCGGGTACCAACTCTGTCCCCATCATCAGAGTTCTGATGTGACTGGATACCTCCGAGGCTGATTGAAGATTTTATTGATTTTACTCGCCACGAAAGTCTCAAATCCTATATGTCAGAAGAAATTCAGCGTGAATTTGGTGGTTGCTTTACTTTGCCTCTTCCTGACTGAACTACATGCTAGTCGCCAGACACTGACCCCTTTGTTAAATATATCTAAAACTTTACCATAGGGATAATATTAATACTGATAGTTTTCATTTTACAGAGCTGATTGCTACATAATATTTGTGTATAGAGTAAAAATTACCCCATGCATTATTTTTACGGTCCAATATATTTACATTCATTAAACTGAAACACCACATCAGCTACACGTTACAGGTAATATAAATAAAATACATAGTATAGACAACTAAATGTATAACGATTTTTACAAAATCACCGCGTACTAGATAAAATATTTTATACAACAATTTTACATATGTTATCATATTTTCATATTTGCTGGTACTATACAATAAAAACAATGCGTGTATTTGCAAGACTTGTTACTTCTACATGCACGAAACTATGTTTGGGAAATTGACGGCGATTACAACAATTAAACGTGCCATTGGAAGATAACAGCAATGTTTAATTACTGTGCTAGAACGGGCGTTGATTTTGCACACTGAAACGTTACTTAAGAAAGTGGCTGAATGTAATACAAAAGTCATATTAGTTACAGGTTTCAGCTGCATACATACTGTATATCCGATGAACTTAATATAATATTTCTTATTCAATACCCTACAACTCAAATGTTGTGATTTGAATCATTCATGCTATTTATGAGTCTGAGACTGGTGCTTCTAAAAGGTGAATGATCTCACAGGCAAACTGTTAGAATAATACGTCTTTCAGTAAAACGCCTCGGTTATTTCACCGTCATTTGTGATCAATTCGCAATATAAATTCCCAAATTACAGTGCATGTGTTTCCGTTCTGCAGATACTCGCAATATGGCTTCAAGTACAACCTGGAGACACCCATCTCGACGAGTCAGCGACGAGAGGATGACAGAATCACGTACATCAACAAGGGACAGTTTTATGGAATCACAATGGAGTACATACCTGACCCGGATAAACCTCTTAAGAGTCAAACAGTTAAGGTAGGTGCTAATGTTTTGTTGTTGTTTTTGAAATAGGCTTACATAAAACCGATGTGAAGGTTTATCAGTTGTTTTCAAATATGATCACAGAAAAGCGGGAGGAGAACAAACGGTTTTCAAATTTTGTTGCACCAGTGATGGTTATTGTTGTGGGGGGTGAGATTATATATCTGTGGAATTGGGCCATTAACGGGCGCATTCATCAGTGGTCTTGCTTTTTTTTTAAATGACGCCGAGAAAGATGCTGTAGCGTTATATGTAGTAAGTCAAGTGGACGTGTTCTAAGATACGACCCGAATGTAAAATGCCAAATATTAAACCTGAAGGGAGAAAAACTTACAACTCCAAATATAAATAACTAATTTTTCGACTTTTGTTTATATTCATCTCGTAACTTCAGCACAATAAACACTGCTCTTGGGGGGGGGGGGGGG